GTTAGGGTTAGCTTTAGGGTTAGCTTTAGGGTTAGCTTTAGGGTTAGGGTTAGCTTTAGGGTTAGCTTTAGGGTTAGCTTTAGGGTTAGGGTTAGGTTTAGGGTTAGGTTAAGGGTTAGGGTTAGGTTTAGGGTTAGGTTAAGGGTTAGGATTAGGTTTAGGGTTAGGTTAAGGGTTAGGTTTAGGATTAGGTTTAGGGGGGTTAGGTTTAGGGGTAAATTTTAGGTTTAGGGTTTACAGCGTGCTTCTACTCCGCGCTGTTGTCGCCCTGTTGATGACATCAGCGGCGCGGTTTAGTCAGGCGCACTTTAGTCGAGCGTGGTTTTGTGGGTGAACCAAATAGAGGAGGGTAGTGGGTTGGGCTATAATAAGCACTTCTCTTTACTCCCAAATCCATCTCCTTCTGTCAACATATACTATTTATTATTTTTCTTATATTCTGTTCTATAACTAGAGCGCTCGAGGCAGCATACAAATCTGTTAAAACATGAAAGATAAAGCGCACAGATGACGAAGAAAAAAAACCCACAATAACAAGAACAAAAATCAGCAGCAGAAATGACAGTCACAAGCAACATACACAACAAAATCACAGTAAAATCAGCAGCATCAGGTTCTAACAGCTGTAGGAGTGTTTTCTAAGCAATTTATGTCTTTGTGCTTGGCTTCTACCTGTGCCTATACTCATAAATGCATAAGGATAGTCATGGATTCATATGCACACATGGATGCAAATGATGAATTGCTTGTGAATTTCATTTAAAAAGTCCTTTTAAGAATAAAAATAAGTCACAAAATTAAAAGAACATTAGAAAAGCAGACAGAATAGTTTCAGTGTTTCCATTAAAACAGTGGGTTCCCAAACTTGGCAACTTTAAGACTTGTGGACTTCAACTCCCAGAATTCTCCAGCCAGCATTAAAACAAAGAGATTCTCAAGAGTAGGAATGCAGAGAATGCAACTGTTTCAACCTCAAGCCCACTCAGGGATAATTTACCTTCTTGTCATGGCAAGTGGTTCCAGAATCACAAAAAATTCTTTGCTTGTAGCCATGTTCTCCAAGTCTCTAGGGAGCTTCTTCCTAACTGAAGTCCGCCTCCAGGGGCCCTGGCATCTTCCCCACTGATCAGCTTCCCCAACCTGATACCCGCCCCCCCCCCTCCACCCAAGTCCCGGTATGTTGAGATATTGGTCATCTTGATTGTGAATTTGAGGAGTTGCTGTCCCAATGCATTTGGAGGGCTTGGATTGGGGAAGGCTGGGGAGGGAAATTTCCCTAACTTTGTAATACACGTAATTTATAATAAAAGTGAATTTGATAACTAGACAGATAATTTGGGTATTAAAGTTTCTTTACCATGGGAAAAAGGAATAATTACCCTTAAGATTAGTTGTTCTGTTTGCTTCACCTAACTAAAACAAATGAAAAAAGGATATTGGTACCAATACCCCCTGTGGGGAGGTAAATTAGTAATGAATGTCATGTCTCTGTTTTGGGAGATTGTGTAAGAGGTTTACATAACACAGGAAGGGGGTCTACATGACACAGGAAGGCCAGGTACTTTGGGGTGATCGATATGTTGGCTAAAAGTATAAAAGACTGTAAACAACTGCCCTTTGGGTTTCAGATTTTGCTTGACCAACTGCTACTGAACCTTTGCGCAAATAAACCTCTCCCTCTGACAAAGAGCTGGTCTTGTCTCATTTTCTGCTACATTTCTGGCACCCCAGATGGGACAACCAGATCTTTCACTCCCGATGACCAGGACCCCATGCTGGCAGAAGGATCCGAGCCCCGGGTACCTCTGGCGCCACTTGACTTCTTGCTTCAGAGGAACAGGGGAGGACACCTTCCACCATTGAGGGAAATCACAGTCAGCCCAAGGACCCTTTGTGTGAGAAAGGGAAA